GCAGTGGCGTGCTGGGTACTATTTTTCTGGGGGGGGGGCAGTGGGCTGTCAACCAATATGCGCCCCTATAATATTACACTTGATAAACGAGGGCCGAAGGCACGAGCCGAGCGCTAAAGGTGCGAGGTTTGTCTAGGGGGGTCCGGGGGCATGCCCCCCAGGAAAATTTTTGAATTTCGAGTCTCTGAAATGCCATTTCCTGGACTTTGGGGGACGATTTGACAGAAATCTGATGGTCAGGAAACAGCATTATAACGTGTCGAAATTTGCAATTCGTACTTAAATTATACAATGCTAACCACTTCCAGCGATTAATCTAATCCCAATTCTATTCTCTACTGATCTAGTGATCTGAATACATTTACAACTTACAGCTCTTTTATACAATAATACATGGACCCCACGCATATGCATTTTAAGGTTTCCCTGCCTGGCTGCCAAAAGGGCGCGTTTCAGCATTATTTCATTACTTACATTACTCATGATGTTTCTTGCGCAAACAACTAAATTGCGTACACAACTTTACATTATCATAACTTCAACTATCTAATTTGCGCCGCTCTCGTGTTTCGTGAAGCATAATAAAGGGTATAATATAAGGGCATAATACCAGTAAAAAAGGGCATAATTCCCGTGATCGCTTCGAAACCTGACCAATATTCCGGTAATGAGACATTGCGTGTAATCACTGATCATGTTTCTATATGAACGATTTTGTGTGAGTCGTGAGGTAGCAAATTAGCAAATACGGTTAGACAAAATAGTCTGTATAATTTAATATATCACTTTGTCGCCTATGCGCTTAGTCTGTTTATAAGCCTATAAACACATCTTTTCTTGGCGGAAGTAACTATATTTTTTCGAATGCGTTTTTTCCCACCCACTTTCAAAATTCGGCGCCCCCTTTTCATTTTTGCGCCCCCCAAGAATTGCCAGCTGGGGGGGGGCTTGGCCCCCCGGCCCCCCCTGCCAGCACGCCACTGCACTAACAAACTGGGGAAAAAATATCCTGCCCCAGTATTTGGTGGGAAAAAAATGTTGCAAAACAGCATGGTTGCAGGGATCGATTTGACCAGTCCGAGAAGATCAGCTGGTTTGATTTTCAGGGACTAGTGTAAGGTTAATTTCTTGTTGGAAAACTTTTTCAAAATGCTGGAAATAGCTTATCTGAGCTTCAAAAAATCCAAAATTTTCTGGGGGAGGCATGCCCCCAGACCCCTCTAGAGGCTCGCATCTTCGGTGGTCGACTCAGTTGTCTCAGAGTCCTAATTAAGCATGGCCTGAGCTGCTGCCCTATGATGTATACTTATTAGTTAAACCATGCATATATGCTGTACAGCTGTAGGTAGCTGCAGTGATACAGACAGGGTTGTAGCGAGGGGGTGTATTGGGGGGTGGTTAACCCCCCAACTTTTTTAGAATCAACATATTCAGAAAATCGGGTTGGCCATTCGGAAAATTACGGCAATAATAGTAGAACAAAATTTTAGTTGTTAAACAGAGAAAATATTATAAAATTGTAGTCACTATAAATTGTAAGCAAATTGTAAATTTCGACATACTAAAACGCATTTTTCTGACCATCAGCATTCTGTCAAAACTTCCCCAAAGTCCAGTAATAAATATAAATGGAATTTCAGAGACTCGAAATTTAAAAATTTCCTCGAACCTCCTGCCCTCGTTTTCTGCCCCCAATAAACAAAAACTCCCTACCGCACTGCTTCTGTAATATGTCTGTGCGTAAAATATGCGTATTTGTGTTTGTAAATTGCGTCTTCATTTTCCGAATAACAAACACCTTCGTGGCTTAGTATGCCCATAGGAAGCCCAAAACGGCGTGTAGAATGCACCAAATGCTTCCAAATGCCAATTTATATTAAGCTCGCTCCATTCCTCTGTCATTTGTCGCGCGCCGCAAGCACTCAGTTGAAGAGCAGTGTTGATATAATATATAGATTATACCTAGGTATAATAAACATAATGCATGGCATGAAAAATGACATGTAAAAGCCTAATGCATGGCATGCTGTTCATCAAAAATTTTGATTGAAAGGAAGATATTTAATCAGAAAAAGTACAACGTATGATCTTTCTGGCGGGGCTTCCAATTTCCGATCTCGGCTCGGGACCGCTCTAGGTTTTTTTTATAGTTTTTCTATTATTTAACTTTCCATTATCTTAACTTTAAATAGTTTATTATTATTAACTTTTTCTTTGGGTTAGCAAGATGTAGCTATATTCTGCTGACCCCAGCTAATAATCGTCATACTGAGGGGTTTGCTGTATTGGAAGATAGATAGATTCTGTAGTCTGACTGACATCGCATATACAGTTATGTAAAATTGTAAATACTTAAAAATAATTGCGTTTTAAATGAGTTTCCCTTGCATAGATGATTATCATCAAAATAAGGCAAATGGTTAATTTAATAGATTATTAGCATTAAAATAAGGGTGAGGACATGTTCGTTGAGAGTAACGTCTGTTCACAGGCTAGGACATGTTGATCTTTAGCGGATTTCTCACATGGTTAAACATGGATTTAAGATCATGCAAATTGTAATATAACTTTATAAGTGCCTCCAAAACGCTGGGAATGCCGTTTCAGAGTACCAAAATTTAGAAAAAAATTTCGGGTAGGATACCTCCGTACCGTCTCGGCATCTAATGAGCAAACTGGCGAAGTAATTTTTAAAATAAACGTTGTCTAAGCCGAAAAAATCAAAGCTAAAGTTTATGTAAATGAACATGATTTTTTACCACATATAATAATATACATAAAATATTACTCGACTGTGATTGGTTGATTTCACATTTAATCCCAAACAGCAGTGCAAAAATCTGTAACAACAGTGCAAAAATCTGTAACAAACTGATCTGATTGGCGGAAAAAACATTGTGATGACAAAATCAACCAATTAGTTTAAAGCAGTTTAGTTTAAAGAAGTAACGGTCACAGATTGCTTCAAAACAAAACAAACATGGCGCCGCGCTACATAAAGAAAAAGTTGACTTCGCGTTGAAAATATGGCTTTTATCTTTATTTTTAAATGGAAAAGCATTTACCTTAAAAACAAGACTAACAAAAGTTATATATAGTTGAGTGGAATATTCAAGCTGTTAGCGTTGTATAATGTGATATTACAAAGCCAAGAAAACTTTGCCTTTTCCAGTGGAATGTTCGCTATAAACGCGTAAGTTAAAACTACATTTGTCTCGAACATTTTTATGTAAATTATTAATAAGTAATAGCAT